AGGTCGAGACCAGATTCTAATATCTTCTTTATCTCTGCCTCACAGGAATCCTGTCCCTCGTGAAAGCTCTGGATGAGCTTAACCTCCTGTATCTTCGTGAAAGCTCTGGATGAGCTTAGCCTCCTGTCTCCTTGTGAAGCTCCCTCATTGGATCCCTGTCTCTGGTCTGCAGCTCTGGGAGAGCTGCGTCATAGGAAACCAGTCTCAAGCCAGAAGCTCTTGGAAAGCCCAACCTGCAATCTGCCCTGGTGAGCCAACCCGCAGATCCCTACGTGGAAGAAACCTGAGGACTTCTTTGAGGAGTTCCCCAGAGGTTACCATGTGGATTATCCCCTGTTGTTCTCTGCGTTGAGCTGGAAGCTCAGATCCAAGCCGTCCTAGCTAGCTTACAGCTAGAGGCTAAGCACCTCATTATCTCAGTAATCCAGCCATCCCCCGTTCCCTGCACAGACCCCAGTGAACCAACCTCCTGCCTGAACTGTCCCGGTTTCATATTCATGTGCTTGTGCTCCTTTAATAAACTCTTTGGACTTTCATCTGTCTCTCCGTGTGTGTTCTGCATCTTGGGCTTTACTCAGAGAAAACCCATCATGACACTAGTTGGTTTTTCCTGGTTGATATCCCCTGGATGTTTGTACCTGGATGCTTGTTTTCTGCTTGATGGTCTCTGAATCTTTGTTTTGGATCATTGTATCATAAAACATAACAGATGGACCCAGTATTCTGGCGAGTCAGACAGTGGGAAGTTTCAAAAGTTTAATGACAATATAATGACATAAAACAGAAAAAGAAACGGAACGCGACCTGCTGAGGATGAACGGACCTGCAGCGGCTGCAGGGGGAAGGCAGAGCATCGCTAATCACTGGCACTCTGAAACAGTTCAGAACGTTCTGAGATCCAGGAATCCGTAGCCCGACCACGGGTTCCGATCCAAACAGGAACAGAATCCACAGAGCGTTCAGGAAGGTACAGAGTTCTATGAGTCCAACAGTGAGCTCAGACAGACACGCTCAGATGGAGACAGGCAGGCTCAGTGGTTGGGGGACAGAGACAAGACATGGTACCAGGATAACTGCAGAACTTTAAACTGGTTCCAACCAGTTTTAAGGCCTAGGGGAACAGAGCGGGCTGAAGGGGAGAGGAGTCAGAACACGATCAGGACACACAAGACAACCAAAACCCTCTCTAACACTGTCCTCCAAGAACGGGGACATGAATTCTAAAAATAACTAGAAAAAGCTGTTTCAGAGAAACAGCAAGTGGGAATGCTTTTGCTGAATGAAAAAAGCTGAAATTACCTGAAGAACGTATGAAAATGTGATAGGAAGTCTTTAGAAACTTCAAACTGCAGAAAACAGTGGAATCATCTGAAGATTTTGTAGGGTAGAATCATTTGGCAGTAAAATGGCAGAAACAAACTCGTCTTAAAAGCTGCACAGCCAAACCATACATGATATCAAAAAATGTCTTGAATGCGGGCGATAGAAGGGTCTTAATATAATGTCTCCCAAGTTTCTAGAAAAATGTATAAACAAATTTTAGCCATCCTTCGGCTTCGACTGTGCCAACTTTCATGTTTCTACTAAAAAATATTTGGCCACGGTGACGATGTAAAAATTTGTTTTTTCTGAGTTTGAGGATTTTTCTCAGAATCAACGTTTTCCTATGCCCGAACAAGTCAGCTAAACAGCTAAACCATAAATGATATTGAAAAAATTCCTTCAATGTGAGTGCTAGAAGCGTCTGGAGATGGGGTATACCAAGTTTCATGTTAGTACATCAAATGGTTAAGAAATGGGAGCGATACGAATATATGTATCTTTTCGGATTTTGTCTGTGATCTTTGGAAAGTCTCTCATTGGATTTCTATTGGGGAAGTGTGGACTTCTTCGCGGTCTGTGCCAAACTGTCGGAAAACTGTAAATCCCACACAGTTGAGGGTTACATTTCCTGAATCCTGACAAAAATCCATACGTTTTGATGTATAATTTATTTCAACAGAGTGAAAAATAAGGAATAGAGAACAATTTGTTCGGAAAAACCAGAACAGCTCAAACGCTAGAGCATGCACTCTAGCAGTTGAAGAATTCCGTCCATAGACTTCCATTATAAATCTGAAAATCTTTAAATTTTTATTTAAAGTTTGAAGCTTCACTGAAGCGAAACTGTAAAAGTTAGCAAAAAGCCGAGTTAAACAGTAATAGCAGAAAGATACGGAAACATTTTAAAAGTTGAATGGTGTTTCTAGCTGAAAGTATGCTGATGTCAAAGATGATGAAGTTTTAGCTGAATTTTGCTGAAATCTAAGAATTCTACATGCATTTCAATGGGAAAGAAATGCAGAAACAGCTGAATATCGCGAAAACTACAAAAAATATCTTTACCAAAAGACATAGCAGAATTCTCCTGAACAAGCTGAACATTTTGATACCAAAATTGTTTAAATCGGTTGAAAACTGAGGGACTAGTTAGAGTCAGAAAAATAAAAAGTGAACAACAATAAGTGGGAATGCATAAGCATTGCATAAGCTGGACTAAACCGTATATAAAGCAGATCAAACAGGTGGAAATGATGAATGATAATTAGAGAGCAGGGAGGAAACGGCAGGTGAATGAAGCGAGTAATTAGATCAGCTACCGGTGCTGCGATCCTGGTTGAAGTTCTAAGGGTCGTTTCAGCCACTTTCAGTTCAGGACATGATATTATGCCGTTTGTGTGGATTCCGGTAAAGTTGTTAAAGATCTGCTGTTGAGCAGGAGCTCCAGAAAGAGGTGAAGCTCAGCGATTGATTTGACTGCAGCTGTTTGAATAAGCTCAGAGTTCCTCTGATGTTGGTTGATCCATTAAGGGCTGTTAAGCAAATCCTCCGCACCTGCAAGGAGAAACTACCAGAAGAGCTTCTGGATCAGAACAACTCTGGAATCAGGCTGACGATATTCCTCGGCTTTGAAGACAAATCATTTGATTTGATCATTTTTAAGCTTAAAATGATAAAGATGTTTATAATCTGGTTCTGCAGAGTCCTGCTAATGACTCATCTGAAAACTATTATTGTTGCAGGATTTGGTGTTAGAGCATGAGAGGCTGCTGCACTGAAAACATGACTGTAGGTTTCCTACTATAAAATGTACAAAAACATGAAAATATACCTACAGAGATAATATAATCTTACTACATCCAAGTTAAAGAAATGTTAGTGTTTGAGAAGGTTTATTGTTCTCATGTGCAGCATGTAAAATATTTGAAATAGAAGTAATTTTAGTTTCATTGGTGCTCTAAATAAACAAAAATGTTGTTAAAAACAAAAATATATATGTTGTCCTTTTTTTCATTCTTCTTTTTTTGGCCCCATGAAAAAACAGCGGCACCATCTTGGCCGCCCTGGAATTTTTTTCCTAGAACCGCCCCTGACTGATCACCTAAAACCAGAGCAGAAGAAAAGCTGCAGTACAGGAAGCAGATTTTAATGATCCAACCCAGTCTGATCTGCATCTGTCCTGCTGCAAAGCTCTGGGGGCCGACCGGTGCCTGTCATGTCCTGGTCCCACCACATGGTGGCAGTCTGAGAGGCAAGCAGGACCATCCTGGAACTTAACCCTGAGACGATGATCCGTCACTGAGGCTCCACCTGATTTGACTTCCAAAGCAGCTGCAGGTTCAAGATGCAAACCTGAACTCAAAGTAAGGAGAACAAAACCAGATATATTTTATTCTCTGGGTTATTTTACAGGACATAAAAATGAAACAAGGATCAATTATTCTCAGCTTCAATCAGATGTTTATTCTTCAGGATTCAACAGAAAAATAAAAACTGATTGGAAAAATGTGAAGCAGCTTTTTTAGCGCTAACATCTGGTGGCTTGACTTCTATGTGAGGAAATCTGGGGTCCACAGTCCTCCTCAGGCTTCCCTCCACAGATCCTGACCTTCCTAAACAGAATCCTACCAGCTGGGATCTCATTTAATGTGACAAACATGAACAAGGAGCCTTTAAACCGGCCTTTAACATAAGGCAATACTAGGCAGTTGCCTAGGGCCCCAGGTTCCTGGGGGGGCCCATACAACTGTTTACAGATATAGTTAATACAACTATTCCTTATTTGTGCTCATTAATTATGTTTTTGATAAAAATCCTTTGGCTAAAATGCCATCAGAACGCTGATAATATTAAGTGTGTCTCAGCCCCCCCCCTTCAGTGTCCACCATATTGGATCAGTCCATTTGCTGCACATGTTCAGAAAGGTCCAAACAGACAGCAGCAAACCATTTGAAAACAAACCATGCAAAGAGCAGTGTTGCCAACTTAGCGCTTTAGTCGCTATATTTAGCCACTTTTCAGACCCCTCTAGCACTTTGATTTCTAAAAAGCTCCTAGCGCCAAATCTAGAGACTTTTTTCTGCTACTGGAGACTTTGGAGACAACATCTAAAAGCAGCGAACTCTGCTCTCCAGAGCGAGTAGATTGGTAACCCCGCCTCCTGCTCTCCTCTATCTTGTCTGCTGTCATGATTCATGCAGCTATTATTTCATCCAAATGAAAAATGGAGAACAGATAAGCAGATCATGGCTTGTCTACAGTGAAAAGAAGGACTGGGTTATTTACTTTGGCCTTTTTGGAAACACAGGAAGGAGCAATCAGCTAAGTGAGCTTAGTGCTTGGAAAAAATCTTTCATTCCTTTAGAGACAGCATGAAAAGTCAGCTGAGTACAAAACATAGAGAGGAAAACAAGAAGAAAAGGGACAAGAAGAGAGGGACACAACCTAGAACAGATAATGGATGTCTATTCTATTAACATTTCTACATCTGAAGAATAGGTCTGTTCTATGTGTTGTCTTCTCAAATTAAAGTGGCCTCCTGCCTGTCTTTGCCTGGGGCCCAGGATTTCCTTAATCCAGCCCTTCTTTTAACCTTACAGATTCTCCCTGAAGGCTGAAGCCCGACCCAGGCCACCGCCTTATGCAAACTTCTTCCAAACCAGGAGCCGAATTTGACTCTCAAATCTGCTTTTTCCATAGGAGAAGAAGAAGGGAGAGTCTTGAAGACAGTGAATCCGCTGCTGATCAGCAGGTAAGATTTCCTCCTCTCCTCTTTATACCATCAGGGTTAGATTAGATGTTTAGTACCAAAGTGAAATAAAAATACCCCAAAAATGTTACTCTCATTTTACTGGCTCTTTTTCATTATTTGAGCTTATTTTTCTTTAAATCTTCTGATTTATCTTCATTTTGTTGTAATCTATTCTGCTCATATTTAATCAGAAATAGAATCTAATATCATTGTTTGGTTTCAAACTGTGAGCCATGGAATAAATGTATTTATATTAGGATTTTGTTCAGTGGAATGAATTTACTGAAATAAAATAAAAAGCAAAAGAAAAACAGTAGAAATTAAATTAATGATTTTTACAATTTTAATGAAAAAAATAACATATTTATTATCTAAACCAAATTAAGAGGGTTTGCAATAACTTAGATAAAGTGTATTATGTGACATCAAACTGCTATGATAACCCTAAATGTAATCCGATTATATAATTTGATAAAATTTAGGAAAATGAAATTAAATCCAAGGTTTAAAACATTTCATTTTTCTGAAAAGTAATTGTTCTTTTTTTTTTTTTTGCAGAATCATGATCAGAACCGCCTCCGTCGTCCTGCTGCTGCTGGCAGCTCAGATCGCAGGTAAACCTTCGATTAAAAGACCAGCTTCTACTTTTCAGAGTTTCTCCAATATTTCCTGCACTGCCACGCATGTTGGTTGTTTGACCTTCAGTTAGTCAATTATTCGTCAATAAGGCAGACACAGAAATCCTTTTTAATTTTTTTTTTTTTTTTTTAGAAAAACATCTAAATAAAGTGGGAAAAATAAGAAAAACCTCAAAAAGTCAAAAGAAGATCATTCTTCTATCAGGAGCCTCCTGCAGGCTGCTGGGACGTTTATGTCCTCTTTGCTCCTCAGCTGTAAATCTATGGAGTGAAATTTGTTCCAATATTACAGAAAGCAAAGAACACATAGAAAAAATAAATATATATGTGTTTCCTGCCTGTGCCCGGGGAAAACGGATCAAAATGAGCTAAACATGGTTTGTGCAGTGTCGAATAAATACATAGAAAAAAATGATTAAATAAATAAATAAAAACATAATATATAAAGAAATAAAAAATTGAATAAATAAATAAAGAATAAAAAAAAAGTGGAGGACTTCTTAATCCAATAAACATTTTGAAGAGTTTTTTTTTTATTAAAAAAAAAATACATGGTTTGAAATATATATATATATATTTTTCTAAATTTAGTTTTGTCAATTTGTCAATTTTATTCTTTAGATTTTATATTTTCCTGTTTTTTTAGATTGTATTTTTTTTTTATGAAATTTCATTCTTTTCAAACATACTTTGTGAATCGAAACTTTAAAACAAACGGATCCAGAAATGAAACTTTTGAAAACTTCTTAATAAAAATATTAGTTTATTTTATCTTTCATTGACAGATTTTATATATTTAAATGATGTGTTCTTTATTCCTTTTTAAAAAAAAAATCCCTCTGCACATTCTGGGTGTTCTGAGCACCGACCAATAGAAATGCTGTTGCCAGGCAGAGTAGACTCATTTTAATCAGAAACTGTTAAATTCTGTCAGGTTCTCTAATCCAAATTATGACGTCACTGCTTGGATTCAGATTATTAGCAGCCCTTTAAAACATCAGCTTAGTTTGTGTTAAACAGATCAAATCCTTTGGTTTTGTGTAAATTAATAACAGAGAAAAGCATCATTAATGCCCCGACTAACAACATGAATCCATAAATCACATTATTTGAATTGTTTTTAAATGCAGTACACATTAACGGTGAATAAGACATGGGTGACCTCTGTAGTATAGAGTGATTTTTGTCATCTGTTTTGTAAAGAACATGTTTTATAAATGCAATTTAAATTCTGTTTCTGGATGCCTTTTGAAAAACTTCTTAACTGATTTTTTTTTTTTTTTTTATTTGTTGCTTTCTTAGATTTTTTTTTTCTTCATAGTCGATTTTTAAATTATATTTTTTGAAATTTCTCTTTTTCAGATCAGGTCTTATGAATTTGCATTATTTTCAAATTGCGTTTTATGGATCAGATTCTCTTCACTTCAACACAACACAAACAGGCGGGACTGAACCTGGGCGCGGTAGTAGACCTGTGACCACTTCGGGCCGCTTTTCCGCATTTTCTTTTCCAATGAATAGATGTCATGATTTTTTTCAAATTCAATTCTATTCAGTTTATTTCTATAGCTCCAATTCACATCATGTCATCTCAGGTCACTTTCCAGTTCACCAGATCATCCAGTCAGATTGATTCAAAGTTTTATATCTAAGGAAAACCAGCTGATTGCATCGACTCATTGACTCTTCAGCAATCCCTCACACTAAGCATGCTTGTAGCGACAGTGGAGAGGAAAAACTCCCTTTGAACAGGAAGAAACCTCCAGCAGAACCAGGCTCAGTGTGAGCGGCCATCTGCTGAGGCCCACTGGGGTTCAAGGAGACAGAAGCAGACATAGAAAAAGAAGCATAGATACAAAAGGCAACTGTCAACCAGCTCCACAGGCGGCCCCGTCCAGGAAACACACAGCCAGGCAGACGAGCTCCGAGCCAGCTCCCATGTCATAGGATGAAGAGAACACATCCAGTTAGTCACAGTCAGAGAAACAGGACTACACTGGAAAACAGGCCAAGCTACAACATCTAGAAACAAAGGTGTTTCTTTTGCTAACTGGTGCCCACATATATTTTTTTTATAAGTTTGTTTATTTTTTTTAACCAGTAATATTAATAAAAAATACCATATGTCAAAAAGATTTTTAAAACTAACCAATTTAGCAACACGGTTAAAAAAGAATAAAAGTTTTTTTTAAAATATTGCGTCCCTTTATTCAGTACATTGACATGTTGCTTATATATCGAACACAATATGCATCTATGAAATCATTACAGTATCCCTGTGAGCAGTGCAAGACAAATAATGGTCTTTTTTTATTTGTTTCTTATAGCCATCGATTTATGGGTTTAATTTAAATACATTTTAAATTATAAATCAACCTATCAGGAGGACTGCGGCTGGGAATGTGCTTAAGGCACATTTAAATAGTCTAATGTTCATTCATAGGCATTCTCCTGTTTTACTGTAAATAAATACATAAATGGAATGAGCCAGCACAAAAAAATAAAATAAACCACTTTATAAGAATCTTCTGTTACAGATTCCAGATATTAGTTCTTATCAGGAACGCAAACCAACAGATCCAATCAAAGGTTCACTTTCATGCTTTCTGGACCCTGAAGGTCCTCATAGGTTTGCAAAACATTCAAGAAGAGAAAAATGTATCAAGTTTCCATTTTAACTTCAGCCTTTTGTTTTTGCAGACTCTCAAAACTTTAACAACACTGGGAAGGAATTCGTTGTCGTTTTTCCAGAAAACATTGCCTACTATCATCCTACTGATCCAATAAACGAGATCTGGGTCACTGCTCTGCATCATAACACAAGAATCACAATAGAAAAACTTAATATAGATTACGATCATATGTCTGCTGGAGAGACGACGAATTATACCACGGATCTGGAACTTAAGAAGCCTGACATTCCAGAGAATTCAACCTCCTTAAATGTTTTCAGCATTTCTGACGAAGCCATCAAGGTCACCAGCACCAAAGACGTCGTCGTTCAAGCCATCAGCCTTAGAAAGAATAGTGTGCAATACGCTCCGGTTATACCTTCTCACAAACTTGGCACAAAGTACTTCATCCCACCAGTTCCTGGACTGGAAGAAAGCCCTGATGATGGAGCTGTAGTGGTAAATGTCACAGAGAGAGGTCCGTTCAGACTCATCATCGTCAATCCTGGTGAAGATCAGGCCAACGTGACCATTAAGGGGGAAGAGGAGTTTGGTGGTGCAATAGAACCTGGGAAGGTTGCTCAGATCTTGCTGAACAATAACGGGCAGTATCAGTATGTCGAAGCAGATAGGCCTGTGGCCGTCTTCTTAAGCCACCCCTGTGCTTTTCAGGATAACTGCACCTGTGGGCTTCTGCATGCCATGGTTCCTGCAGCCAAAGACGACAAAGAAGAGTTCCTCATTCCTCCGATTTTGGCTGAGCAGGCATCCATACTACTGTCTGATGAAAAGTCCAGAACATCTACTGACTCCACAGCAGCTGTTGATTCTGAAGGGACAGTCATCCTTCATAAGCCCAGCTTCCTACTCACTCTGATGTCAAAAAAAGATTTTGGCAGCTGTTTTGTTCTCACATCACTGAGATATTTGATAAAAAGTTTTCACATCGTGGTCCATAAGGATGACAAAAACGGCATTTACATTGGAAGAAATCCTGCAGGGTATACAGATTGGGAGGAGTTGAAGGGAACAGACTATGTCTCAACACATGTCAGCGTAACATTTCCAAAGGCCTTCCTGTGGCACAATTCCTCGGTAATGGCCGTGTACCTTGTGGGAGAGAAGAACGGTAGAATGTATGGAAACCCTGCGCCTGTTGTGAGCTCAATCCCAGGTAAGGAGGCACCAAAGCTCCGAATCCATCCAATAAATGAACCTTAATGAAGTAAAGGATGAGTTTAAGGGACAGTGTGTAAGAAATTCAGCTATTTATGAACACAAATAAAGTATAATAAATAAGATTCTGCAAAGGTTTAATAACATAACATCAAAAAGTGAAGTGCTAAATTCACAAGGGGTGGTGCATCCAATGGGAGATGCCATGTTGCTCAGAGTAAATGAAGGTGACAGAAAGGCAGAGCTTTCACCTTCTATTCATACTCTTTGTTCAGTGAGAGGCAAGAAAAACCCAACCACAGAAATAAAAAAGTAAAGACCCATTTTACCAGTCCACCCCTTTGGAATGGGGGTCGTCCAAAGGGGTGGACTCGTTTGTTAAAGGCTTATTTGGGCTACAGTATAAGAGCCTTGAACTCAACGCTATTTCCGATGTTTTAAATTGAAAAAGCTTCCTGAGTGGGAAGCGAAACATCTTCAAACTTGGAAACAAAGTCCAAAAACAAAGTTTGTTTTTCAACTTTATTGGAATGACTATGACTTGGATGATTGAGAATCTTCACCAGCAACTTTAAAAATGGCTAATTTTCACAGATGTTATAGTAGCTAACAGCATAGGCTCCCTACAGTCCTCTTTCCAGAGGAATGTTTCCCGTGTTTTACAGTGTTTTACAAGAGTGACAGAGGTTGATATGTCCCCTTCGTTCAGAAAGAGCAAAACGTCACTTTGCGACTTCCCTTCCCTTTATTTCGGTTACCACTAGATGGGGCTAAACTGTACACACTGTCCCTTTAAAATCCATCCATCCATCCATCCATCCATCCATCCATCCATCCATCCATCCATCCAAATACAGCAAAATGAGAGAATAGAGATAGAATGAAGCAGAATGAAGAAAAGGGATCCCTATGTCCTCCAGCAGTCTAAGGCTATAGCAGCATAACCACACTTTATGACTCCTCGGCCAATCAGGTTCACTCTACCTCATGAGCCCTGTTTTACCTATGAAAGAAGAGGAAAATCTCCTCAAACATTCAATTCCTCCTGCAGGGAACAAGTTCCTTGATTGATTCACGCAGTACTTAATCTTTTAACTAAAAATGAGAAAAGTCTTTAGTTTGATTTTTCTGTTACTGATAGAAAGTGTCTTTTTGCACCATTATTCCCGTTAATGGCTTTGCTTTGGTCTGTTACTGAGATGAAATATAGGAGGGAAGAGATAAAGCTCTTCAGGTCTATCTACCATCTGACCCTGACCTTTGGTCATGAGGATCCATTCCAAGGTCATGAGGATCCATTCCAAGGTGTTCCCATTGAGGGTCTAGGGGCCTTGAATGGCCCCTAGACCCTGAATGGGAACACCTTGGTAGGTCAAGCTGAGGAAGTTCTTATCAGGGATAGCCATGCTCTATTTTGTCTTTATTTTTTCCTTTTCTAACAGATTACAGGGGCTGTGTTGTGACTCCAGAGGTGATAGAGATCCTTGATGAAGAAAAAGGGTGGAAAGAATCCATCAAATCCTGTGAAACTAAACACCTGGATCTCATCAGCCTTTCTGACAACAGACTGCAGAAACAATTGTGCAGTAAAATATCCGCTAAAGGTGTGAAGGAAGCGTGGATCGGGACGCGTCGCAGTTCTTTGACTGGCGATTGGTACTGGTTGAACTACAATAAATTCAATGATACAAACTGGGCTCCTGGTAAGCCTGGAAAAAAGGACCAAGGCCAGTGTGCTGTTATGAGTCTGAAACCCGACGATGACTGCAGCTGGAAGGACAAGAACTGCTGCGACGCCATCCGTCCTTTCTGCTACAAACCTCCAGAATTCCTGCCGATGTAGTGAAAAAATGTCTTCCTGGACAGATGGAGGAGAAGCAGCCTGCTCCGATCTCTCCTGTCGGCTGGCAGTGAGCAGAACCACTTCTGTAATGACTATAGTCCTTATAAGCTCAGCTTTAGCCTTTAGCTGCGTTCAGTGTGTTCTAGTTTGGTACTTTTGGACAGGACCTGGCAGAGAAATTCAAAGTGAAGGGTTAGCAACATGAAGTAGGCGTCTTATTGTACTAGTTTTGTTCAACAGTTAATTTGAGCTCGTTTCAGCTCGGATTTCTGCTCCATTGTGTGTTTTGTTTTATTTCCGCTGATTAGCTCCTGTGTTTTCGAAACAGGAAGCCCCTGTATCTTTTCCCCCAAATCAAAGCTTACAGGTGTAGCAGTGCGGCCACCGTCCTACGTATCAGAAACACCTTTCACTCTCATGTGACTAAACTTATTTTTGAATCTTAGACAGTTTTTAAAAAAATCTGCAGGTTTCCATGGGGATGGAAATTTCACCTGATGAGCAGCACCACATGTTTAGTGCTGGAGAAGTTCTACAGTCATCTGGCTCCTGTCGGATCAGTGCGGTCAGGCCTACAGTAGCAGCCATTCAGAATTTCCCCACTTTCCTTGGTCGGTCTCCTACAATTCCCTTTTAAACATCAACCTTTGTACTAAAATACTTTCTGTCAAGATTTTGGGACATTGAGATTTAATGAGAAGCGCCATATCCTGGTCAGACCCTGTAATTCAACAATAGGGCGGAGTCAGACTAAAAAAAATGGGAACGGCCATTTTGAATGGCTGCTATTGTACATGCGATGAATTCAGGGTTTATAGGAGCAGGTGTTTACAGTAGTAGCCATTCAAAATTTCCACACTTTCCTTGATTGGCCCTTGGCTGGTCCTTGGATGGTTTTTAAAACATCTAAAATATAGTTTCTGTCATGATTTGTGGACATTAAGACCTAAAGAGACCCTGTGATTCACTGAAAGGGTGGAAAAAATGTGCAGGAGGGGGGGGTGACTGCAGTGGCTGGAGGTTGGAGGGGATTTTGCTGCCATTGGGCTGGCTTTTGACTGGGAAATGGCCATTTTTAATGGCTGCTACTGTATCTCCTTACATCACAGTCCTTTATTTCCGCTTTTACCTGAATAACTTTAGAGCAAACTCAACAATGTTCTCGGTTAAACTGCTTGCATCCAAACTAAACAAGCTTTTCTTTCTTAATAAATGCTCCATCATTTTTCAAAAATAGGAAATTTATCATTGTTTAAACATCTTTTCCAAACTTTCCCAGTAATTGTATCTACTTTTTCTTGTCTCTGTTTATTTTTTTCTTAAAGTTTAAGTAAATTTCATCAATTGAGTCCTAGGATTGCTTGAGTTTATGTAAAAATGGAAATATTTAACCTGTAAAATGTAGACTTTGTTTTTTGTTTTTTTTCTCTGCAGTTGCATTTAGTTTATTGATGTTTATTGAACATAAAATAGAGAATAAGACATCCTACTACCAGGTACCATTAGATGTGATGATTTTGGTCTCAGGTAATTATTTTAGCGTCTGTTTCAGAGCAGAAACCTCTGGCTGCTCCAAGGTTTTTATTTTATGTTTTTAAGGTGGTGTTGATCATTGGTGGTCGGATTCATGTTTACTGATTAAAGCTAGAAAACAAAGAATGTAATCTTTATCTCTGCATGCTACATGAATGAATCTAAAATGTATAATAAATCATTTTAAATGACTGAACTGGATTTTAATTTTATTTCATTCTACTGACACAAATATTCTAAGTGTCAGGATTTGGTTATGGAGTATAGACCCAAAAGCAGAGGCAGGAAGGCAGAGGTGAATTTCTTTAGATTTAATCTGAAAGGGAAACTGAAAACAAAGGCAGGTTAACCAAAAATCCAATAATGAAAACCAAGTCCAAACAAGCATCTAATCAGGAGTCCAAAAATCCAAAAGAATCAAACATAAAAACTAGTCAAAACGAACCAGAAACCGTGGAGACATCAGGGGAATCACTGTCACAACGAGGAAGACTCAGGAAGACGGAGTTGGAGGAAGTTTGAAGAAGTTTGGCAGTGTTTGACGAGGAAAGGGGAACTGAAGAGAGAGAGGGCTTTAAAGGAGACAGAGACAAAGAGGGGGCTAATGAGGAAACTGGGAGCAGGTGTGCACAGAACAAGAGAAGGAAAGAGCTAGGGAAGAAGGAGAACACAAGAGGGCAGCAGAGAGCAACAAATAAAAACCTGGAAGACTCTGGAGACTCTCCATTAAAGAAAACTTGGAGCCGTTCACTAAACGAACGTCCAATCAGCGTTGGCTTTGAGGCGGGTTGAGGTGTGACGCAACGAGAAGCGCGACAGTTCAGTCTAAAGAACATGGCGGCTTCAGCTGATGAAACTAGCGTCAGCGTGGCTATCGAGCAAGTTTTATGGGAATTACAGAGTATTTCTTTACTGAAAGAAGAGCAAAACACTGCTCTGGAGGCTTGTTGGACTTCATATGGAGCCCACCCAGATAATGTTGCTTACGGCCCTGTTGTTGTGTCGTTACGCCATTGGTCAACGCCCTTCTCTACAGCTCCAACTTTAATAAGCATTTTGTGAAACCTAACTGTCTCTCCACTTTGGAAACTGGTTCCTCTTGTTCTGAGCCTACGGAAGAGGATTAGGGCCACTGAAGAAAAAAAAAAAAGTTAACTGATTTTTTTTATTTTATTTCAGTCTAGTATGGGAAAAAAGTCAGAATTCTGACTTTAATCTCAGAATTCTGACTTTTCTTATTGTCAGAATTCTGAGAAAAATCACACGGATCACACGGATTCAATGCGGTGTTTAAAATCAACTCAGTTGACAGGGTATGAGATTTTATAGGGAGCGGTTGTTTGATATGAGTAACATGTTGATCAACTACTAATTAAGTTCAGATTAGGGATGATTTAAGGTTAGGATTAGGATTAATTCAGTGATAACTATAAATATAAATATCCATCTATATAAATATGGGTTACACCCTGAGCAATAACCCTGTATAACGGAGGTCACAGGTTAGTGACCCACGGTCCTGCTGGCTAAACCAGATCCAACCTGATTTAAAACATTTCAAAATTACCACATGTTGTCCGACGGCAGAGTCTAATTTCACTTGTGCTGCTTACTTTATTTATTTTTTTGTTAATTTTTTCAAGTTTTATAAAACAAAAGCAGGTTATATTTTTCTAGATCAAAGGTCAGAGATTAGCGGTCCGGATCTGGACCCAACCTGATTTAAAACATTTAGAAATTACCGCATGTTGTCTGACGGCAGTGTCTAATTTCACTTGCTCCTCTTCTTCTGTTAATACGGTAAAGCCCTGGGGAGCGTCCGGCTCCAGGCTGCACGTGATCCAAATGAGCCAATGAGCTGTCAGTCTGGGTTGCTGCTGCTGCTACTTTTAGACACAGCAGGCAAACCTGTGGCAAGCCGGGCGATGGGAAAGAAGGAGAAGACCATGAGAAAAAGAGAGCAGATTCGCGTTTTTAGTCTCATAAATGTTCTAGTTTTTCCTTCTAAATGTGTCTGTTTATTCTATTAATAATTTTAACTCTATTAATATGCCACTTTAAACTCAAAAATGTTTTCCCGTCTCTGAATGTCCCTCATATGCCGCCGTAGAGCCACCCTGCTTTAAAACTCGTATCTAAAAATGGACGGATTCCAGATGTTTATGATCATAAAGGAAATCTGAAGTTATCAAGCTAAAGAAATCACAGTAATAGACTTTAAATATTTATTTATTTGGTTTATTTATTAATGACTAAATCAGGCAGTTAAACCTCTTTTCTATCTGATATTATTGTAAGTCTGAGGAGCTTATTTCCTCCAGCAGCCGCCCCCCTGCAGCCCCCCTCCCTGGACAATCCACAACCCGACCCCCACCACCAGAACCACTTTAGCCCCCAGAGACAGCAGCAGCAAGAGAAGAAGAAGCGCCGGCGTCTCGGTGGAAGAGGGCAGAGGTCGGGGGTGCAGGACGTAGAGGGCGGCCTGATCTTTGCCCAGCGGGTTGGAGGCGCTGCAGGTGTACTGCTGCCCGGGCTCCACGTCCCGCAGCTGGCTGACCGTGTGGTATCGACCCGGTGAGTCCAGCGCCATCGGCTCCACGGACGAACCCTCCAGCAGGTCATCGGGGCCCAGCCACTGGACGTCAGGCAGCGGCGATCCCTGGACCCGACACAGAGCTCTGTACCCCGACGGCTCACTGCCCTCCACAGACAGGACCAGGATCTTTGGAGGAGCTGCAGTGCAGAAAGAGACGCAGCTTTAGATCAGAGACTTCACAATTTACAAGGAAATAGATTAGCTTCTATTTACACAGAAACTTATTGTAATAATCAGAAAAAATATTCTGCAGGAATCTGAACCACTGGTTTTCTTGAGAGCATCTCCAATCTGATCCCAGTAAGTCATACAAACGTTTCCACTAACCTTTTCTCAGGTTAGAATGAACAGACTTCAATACGTGAACTGAACAGTTTTTCTTTTAGAGGAAAGTCAAACAGATTTCCTCCGTGTGAAACAAATCAGACCAGGAAAAACATTTTGCTTCTATGCACATGAATTCCTCCCAAATTTCTCCTCAGCACTAAACACCCACAGCATAATGCTGCCAACACCATACTTCACGGCCACAATCCTGCCTCAGGCTTCTTAGTAGGGGTGTAAATAATAATCGTTTTGTATCGATGCATCGATCCAACAGCCGACGATCCGATGCATCGATACGTCCGCAAGGTCTATTTTTATCCATTTGCTCCTGGGCGTAATTCTCCTCCCGTGCTGCGGTGGCGCTAAACCCATTCTGTGGAGAGGGCGGGACGTCTGGAGCCAAAGTATTGCATTGCACTCATTGCACTGATTTTCTGCAGTATTTTTTGAACTTTTCTACTTCTGTTATTTGCTGTTGTTTCTAAAAAAAAATGCACAATATTACAGCTTTCATTGATTTATTTCAAACTTGAAACTTTGTTTAGTCTGTAAGGTCTAAAAATAAAAAAAAACAACAACAAATTAATCGATTAATCGTATCGTATCGTGGTGTATTCTTGAGTATCGAAAATAATCGAATCGTTGGGTCAGGAAATCGATACTGAATCGAATCGCCATGATGGATGTGATTTACACCCCTACTTGTTAGCATCGCCCTTTTCCTCCAGACATTTCAGCCTTACGTTCATCAGGTTATTGGTCATGTCTCCTTATAATTAGAAGTGATTCAGGACTAGTTGGATCTATACCAGAATGGAGCAGAGCGCCGCGCAATTCCCCTTCCAATCAGGAGCATTGTTAAAGACCTCTGCTATAGAGTCACAGGAAGTGAGACCGTTCAGCAGTGAAACATCCTCGGATGTTTTGGACCCTACCTTCCACTCGCAGCCTGGTCCCCATTTTATCCTCAAAGCTGAGGTGTTCTTTCCCCTGAACCTCCACCCTGCAGTAGTACCGCCCGTTGTCCAGCAGGGTGGCACTGTTGATGCGTAGCGACAGGTCGTGCTCCCTCGGGTTGCCCTCCAAACGGTAACGTTGGTCCTGCTCTGGACCCGCTTCACAGACGGGGGCCCCGGGCCGGCTGGTGCAGCGAAACAAGACGATGGCGGTCGGTCCGTGGCCCAGGCGCCACAGCACCTGCAGCAAGGAATGCTGGGAGTGCTTGGGGTGGCTGAAGGTGCAGGGCAGAACCACCGGGTAGCCGTCGATACCTCGCACCTCGGATTGGACCTTCATGGACCAGCTGTCGTCACCGGAGACCAAAGCTGCAGGGAAACACAATTAGAACTGGGAGCCTCTTTCATTTAAAGGAAGAAACGTTTCTGTGTAAAAACGTTAAAAAGAAGATTTTTTACCATTACTAAAACGGTTTTCTAGATCATTCAGTTTATGAGGGAATGTTTGTGATCTAGCGCCAAATCTAGAGACTTTTTTCTGCTACTGGAGACTTTGGAGACAACATCTAAAAGCAGCGAACTCTGCTCTCCAGAGCGAGTAGATTGGTAACCCCGCCTCCTGCTCTCTTCTATCTTGTCTGCTGTCATGATTCATTCAGCTATGATTTCATCCAAATGAAAAATGGAGAACAGATAAGCAGATCATGGCTTGTCTACAGTGAAAAGAAGGACTGGGTTATTTACTTTGGCCTTTTTGGAAACACAGGAAGGAGCAATCAGCTAAGTGAGCTTAGTGCTTGGAAAAAATCTTTCATTCCTTTAGAGACAGCATGAAAAGTCAGCTGAGTACAAAACATAGAGAGGAAAACAAGAAGAAAAGGGACAAGAAGAGAGGGACACAACCTAGAACAGATAATGGATGTCTATTCTATTAACATTTCTATATCTGTTGATGTGTGTCTTCTCCATCAGAGGGCCCCCTCCCTGTCTTTGCCTAGGGCCCCAAATTTCCTAAATCCATCCCTGAGGTCAGTGCAGTTTTCCCGTTCATCTTCTGGACTCTAAAGCAAGGTCAGGTAATGTTTAGCTTTTTACAAAACGTGGCTCAAGTGCATAAGAACATTTCTGAGATATTATTTTCACTATTTAAGGTTTTATAAAACTTCTCTGTTCTCTTGTATCGGCTGGTATTTTTAGAGAGGAACAACAGGCGCTCCTTTCTCCTCCTCCTCTTCAGCCAAGCTACAGAGGAAATCTGTTCTGGATCAGATATATGCTCACCTCCAGCGACAAGCAGCATCAGAACCACGGTGCGAG